GTTTTTTAATAATTTTAAAAAATTTTCTTAACAAAGCCAATAAAACAAATCTCAAATTAAATATTTTACTTAGAAAAAATATAGCTAAAATTAATATTTAAAATTTTATTAAAAAATTTTAAAATTTAAAAAAGTTTGCAGACAAATTTGGCTACAAAACAATTTAAAGAATAAGCCTTGTTTTAGTTGATGCTGTTCTATATACTCTGAAAGTATGAACCAAGAGAAGAACATCTTTTAGATATCTAAAACCTGGGCAGACCAACTCTTCTGAGTTGCTAGCTGAAAGTAAGGAAGGAGCTGATAAAGAATCCAGATAAAAAAACAGTCCAAATGTGAGTACTGGGGTTGCTAGGAACCAGAACAAGAACAAGGAATACATAATAGATGTCTAATTAGAAAGGTTGGTGCTTAAGAAATGTCCATAGAACAGCAGCACCTCAAAAGGTAGCATGGGATATGAATACAAAATGGCAGGTTAATATGTACTAATTATAAAAAATTTGCTTGATTTCTATTAACTTATTCTTATATTTTTTTTTAAAAAAAAAAAAAAAATTATAAAACATTTAAAACTATTTTTTATTTATTAAAATTTAATAATTTTCAATAAGTTCCAAAACTCTTTTCAATGATTACTTAAACCAAAATTTTCCATGGAAGAAAAACACAAATTTTTACTGAAGAGTCATGGCCTATATAGTGGTTTGTCTAGAGGTCAACTGCTTTTCTAAGGGACTCCTCTATAAGTGATATTTGGCATGCAAGCCAAAAGTATTATTATACAAAATAGCTAGCAGGAGGTGCTCTTGTATAAAAAATTTTGGTGGAGAAGAGAACTCTGCGGACTAACCTTCTTTCTCTGTTGACGAAGCTATTAGGCTGTACTTCTTTGAAGACACTGGGAAACAACAAAATAACATGTTATTTTTTCAAGCCGCACTCTTTTTACTTGATTAAGTGGCTTCTTTTTATCTTTTATTGCTTTCCTGTCAGTCTTCCAAAAATTTTCGAAAAAATGTAGAGATTTGGCTTACTCTTTTCAAAAGATCGATATTGTTTATATTTGGACTTAGTAGAATACAATCACATGTTTGTTGTATTGACTAATATAGTGCTACGATACAGAAAAGAGATCATCACTTCCGTTTAGGAGATTCCCAAGTCGAGTCAGTGTACGAAACGAGTTAATCCAATAGAGTCGAAGGCTTTATAATTGAGATATACTTTTAGTTGCAATTAGTATATAATTTTTATTCTTATGCCTAGCACAGGCTATAATAGTGTGTTATGACTATTTTCTTTTTTTTTCGCTTTTTTCATCTTTGTTCATTTATGTTAGATTATTTTAGAATTTGTTGAAAAGTTTTTTTTTCCCACCATGAGGTGTTTTTTTTTTTAAAATATTTATGTCTTTTATAAACATGGCTTTATATTTTTACTTTTATGTACAAATAAGGGTTTTATTTGTGTTGTCGGGCTTAGGTGGAAGAAGTCTGAAAGAAGAGGAGATAGTCATGACGGGTGGCAAGGTCCACTATTGAGAGCTGGGTCATATCCAATTGCAAAAGGGGTCCAGAAGGAAGGAAATCTTGCTATAGCAGGTCAAACATAGATACCAAGTTGGTAACCAGGTTAGTCATAACTTGTAATTTAGATAGCACTAAGTGAATGTAGGTAAGACACTTGTCGTTTAGAGATAGTTCTTATACACTATCTGCTGACTTGTTTAGAGTTTATTACTTATCTGTTATAAATCCTATACGTAAATCCTAGTTGTAAAATTTTACTAATTCTAGACGAGTTGTACAAAGTCTAATAAAGTTATAGCATGACTGCCGAATTTGTTAAAAAAAAAAAAATAAATAAAATTTAATAATTTTTTTTACAAAAAAAAAAAATAGAAATAACAAAATTTATAAGAAACCATTTTCTATAACCTAATTAAAATATTTCTTGTAAAATTTTACTAATAAAAACTTTGCTCTAACTTTAACTCTAACTTAACTACAAACTACAACATTAAATTTTTAGTAAAAATTACAAAAGAAAATAACTTTTGTAGGTGCACTATCTACTCTAACCCAACCCAAACTACAATATCAAATTTTTAGTAAAAAGAGCTGAAAAAAGCATTGCTAAAAGAACAATGAAAAGACTATAAAAGAATAACAAAAGAGTTTCAAAAAAAAAAACAAAAAAATACCAAAAAAGCACTAAAAAAAATCACCAAAAAAGTAACAAAAAAGTGGTGAAAAAAACACTAAAAAAGTGATAAAAAAAAAGTGAAGAAAAAAAAAAAAATAACAAAACAAAAGTGTTGACCTAAAAAAAAAAAAACATGAAAAAAATATTAAAAAGAACAAATCATTGAAAGAATAACCAAGTAACTACTAAAAGAATGATGAAAAATAACAGAAAATTCCATGAAAGAACACCAAAAAACCACCAAAAAGTAACAAAAGAAGTGTTAAAAAATAACTAAAAAAAGAAGCACCAAAAAATGATGCAAAAAAAAAATGCGCACTGGAAAATTAAAAAAATAAGTAATTCTGGCCTAATTTTTCTAATTTTTTGATCGTTGCTCTTAGCCAATCAAAATCGAGGATCTGCCGCGCATTTTTTGTGCGGCACTTATTCATGCAGGAAATAGTAACTTTACTTAGTATTGTTATGCTCGATGACTTTACGGATAGCAACTAAGGTCTTTAAATAAGAGAAGCATCATATATTATTCGATTGATTGCAATTTATTGACTTTTTTCCTCTAAATTAGTCTGTTTTTCCAGCCAGCCGTATTTTTCCCAACAGTCTCTTACGAGAGTATAGAAAAGGACATTTCCAAAAAAGTATTTCGTTTCGTTCACAAAAATTATCATATTCAACTCCTCACGATATTTCAGAAAAAGTTCTTAAATATTATGAAGGCCTGAAAAATCATGATCGATATTATTTAGCCAAAGCTATAACATTAGGTTTGTGGTACAAACAAATTGCGCTCTTGAGACGAACCATTTTATTGGGCAGTTGAATTTACATAGAATTTATCCATATTAGTTGAATCGTCGCGTAAGGATCATAAATATCAAGCACAACAATTGCTCTCCATTATTCTCGATGTTCAGCATTCTTTAGGCAATGATGTACCGACATTCAGAATTGGCCTTTCTGGTCCGCCTGGCGTAGGAAAATCTACATTCATCGAACGTTTTGGAATGCATGTACTTTCTCAGGATCATCGTGTAGCTGTTCTTGTAAGGAATTTGTTACTATATCATTTTCTTTTACTATTCCTCAATTTAAATATTGGATTCTATCTTTTTTCTAGGCCATAGATCCATCCTCATCTCGGACAGGTGGATCAATTTTAGGTGATAAAACCCGTATGCTTGAATTGTCACGCCAAGATGACGCGTATATTCGGCCATCTGCAAGTCACGGCACACTTGGTACGCTGATGTTTAACATTTATATTGTGCGTCATATTATTTATTGATATTTTCATCCAATTATTCATTTTCTTTACAGGTGGTGTAAGTTAAAGACATTCATATGTGTTAGTAATACAGTTAACTCTTTATGTGCACCTTGATGATACAGTAATTGCACTTAGAGAGAGTAAAATATTTAATATCCTTATAGGCTAGGACTATGTCAAAGGCTGCACTTAGAGAGATTAAACATAGAGCCTGCACTTAGTGTTGATTGTAATTTGTAGTTGATGTTTTACATATCGGCTCGAATATAGGTAGCTAGAAACACTAATGAAGCTTTAATCATGTGTGAAGGTGAGTAAATGCATTCATAACGTGTACAATTATATTGTAATGTTCTAAATTGAATTATGTATGTTTTCATAGCTGCTGGTTTCGATGTGTGTCTTGTTGAAACAGTGGGAGTTGGTCAATCAGAAACTGTGGTAGCAGATATGGTTGACATGTAAGTTATCTCGTTCAACCATATTAAATAATAATGAAGCATTTTAATTTATCTAGTTAAATTATTTTTATTAAGGTTTGTTTTGATGGTTCCGCCTGCAGGTGGAGATGAAATACAGGTAAACACTCGCTATCTGTAATTGGCAAGGATAATCCACTGCGAATTTACCTATTTTGAATTTGATATAAGGGTTTGAAAAAAGGCATTGTTGAAATTTCTGATTTGATAGTTGTCAACAAAGACGATGGTGCTATGGAAAGTGCAGCTAGAGAAGCAGTTACCGAATATACTAGCGCCCTAAAATATCTCCAGCACAATACATCGTGGACACCTCGGGTATTTTATGTAAAATTATAAATGAACGAATGTATTTTTTATATCATTAATAGGCTTACTTGTTTGTCTAGGTTACCAGTGTGTCTTCAAAAACAAGTAAAGGAGTGAATAATGTATGGAATGTTATACTCGAATATTTCAACGTAATGAGGGTAAAAAAATGGTTAAGATTCTTTAGCTTAAATATAGTTTTTGAAAGCATTTTTAACTGTTTCGATATTTTTAGAATTCTGGCGAGTTGCAAAAAAGGCGAGGGAATCAGCGAAAATTATGGATGTGGCGCCAAATAAAATCCGAACTTCTAAATAGGTATAAACTCTTTTTCCAAAAATCTTGTTTTCAGTAAAGGATCTTGCTGAAAATTCAACTCTACAGATTGAATTCGGATGAATCTATTAGAAAACTTGTTGATGTGTTGGAAAAAAAAGTATTTGATGGGAAAATGACATCTGGTACAGCTGCTGATTATGTTGTTGATGTTTTTACTCATAAAATCACACAAAATTCGAATCATGGTATAACCTACTAAAAAAGTTATATTTGTATATATACGTATTACACTAATTTGTAATATTTTTTAAAAAAATATATGGCTAGAGTAAGCTAATTCAATGCATGCAAAATAAAAAAGAACTTCATACAAAAAGTAGGCCTGTTTGCTACTTACAAATAAAATTTTTACGTGCCTCTATTGAAACATTTCTTATCCAGTTATTTTTTCATATAATTACATAGTTAAACACGTAATTGTTTGGTGATAGTATAGAAGTATTCTTAAATAAAATTATAATCATATTATATGAAATAATGTTTTTTTTTTAAAAAAGACTAAGTAAACTTAATTCTCTCAGGAACAGTAGGAATAATATTTCTACAATTAATATAAAAATCAAAATTATACTTATACTAATGGATAGTGTGCCAAGTTGCTTGAAAGAAATATACATATCTTGAAATTTCTATGGAATTTTGAATAATACTGTATTAGTAAACTTTTTTAGTGGCAAGGCTGTGTGGTATGGAATTTCAAGTTCAGATGTAACGAAAAATCGAAATGAATTCCAATTTTAGTTAGAAAACTGCCTTTACGACTTGATTAAAAGTGTCTTGTGAAATTTTACTAATAGATATTAAATTTTCTAATCCTAACCCTAACCATATCGCGGTTTAACGGCTTTAATTTTACACACAAACTTGATTTTTAATTTTTATTGGTCAAAAATTACAGAGAGGCAACTTAAAATTATCGATACCAGATATGGTAGGTTCATAGTAGGTATAAGCCAACACCTTGGATTAATGTTATCATAGACAAATGGACACTCTAGTTCAATAATACCATTGTGGCAGAATGCAATTAATAAATAAACCATTTTAATATACATTTTTCCACCACCACTTAATATAGAGCTTATTTAGCTAACGATCACCAATTTAATGTCTTGCTTTTAATCCCTCTTTATAAGAAAATAAACCAAGTTTAACGAATCTAGATATTTTTCTTTTTAATCTATTTCATTATCTAAATCAAGTTTTGGCTATACTGATCATAGTTACATAAATTATATATTAAAAGCAAAATAAAAATATAAAGTACTTTTTTTTTTTACAATTTTTCATCGATAACTGTGATTCCTTCTTTTGCCAAAGCTTCAATTATTGGGTTATTAATTTCTGGTGTATAAGGCGTGAGAACGCCTGTTTGCTTAATTACACCTTTAAAATGAACATTGTTATTATTAAGATGTTATGTTTATAGTGTTGCATTAAAAAATGATATTTTCACAGCTTACCATCTAAAATCAATTGTACAGCAATTCCGCATGGCGTTCCAACTAATTTAGCCATTGCAGATGGGCCAGGAGGGTTTCCATATTCCAGAAGGGTTGAAGTCCACGTTTCCTTATTATTGATCAAAAATCAATAAAAAATACTTCTTCATAAAAATGAAAACATTTAAAATATGAAAGCCTAATAAGTACCATTTCACCACTTTTGGTTTCAATCTCAAATTTATGTTGTAGAATGACCATATCCCTTTCTCCTTCACCATATTGCATTTTTTCTTCCAGGGTAGCACAAAGTGTATCAAGTAAAGTATCTTTACGATGAACATTTTCATCAGAAAACAGGCCTAGCCACCTCATGCCCCTAAAGATTCGCTCAAGCTCTTCACCAGTAATTTCTGGAACTTTACGAGTAATATGCTTGCGAAGGTCACTTATAGTTATAATTGTTGTTAGCATTTTAACATGAATTTAAAGGTATTTATTCGGGAAAGGATTTTAAAACTTACGACTCGGAATTACTGGATATTCCAATTACGTTAGCAAGAACATCTTTCTACATGATGAATTTTAAACATTAGATTACAATATATTTGAAAACTTTTTAAGCATAAAGACAGTTACCCAAGCAATATCAGACGCGTTAGGAGACAAATAATCTTGCTTGGAATCATCTAACAAACCAATATCAACCAAAACTTTGACAAAAGAAGTAAATCCCTAAAATAAGTAAAAGATTTTAAATTGATTCCACATTCCTCATAAATAATGCAATGGAAGATAATATCTAATATAATGCTTTGATATAAACCTGATATCTCAAGGTACCACGTAAAACCGTTTTAACTTCGGGCATGTTATAATACTCTTTGAAAGGTGTAGAATCTCTGTTTGGATAAGCCAAAAATGCGAATGCTGGATAAATGAAGTATGGTTTTGCAGATTGCATAAGTTGTGATCCAGGAATTTCCACGATCTTTGTAATAAAAGGGATCCAAAAATTAGAGATTTGCCTTTATATTACAATTAAAATTGTTATTTATACCCCCAAATTTGTTATTCACACCCCCAAGTATATCAAAACTTTGAGCGATGTTATCTTGACAACCACTAAGTTAATTTTAATAAATTTTTTTTTTATTTTTGAATTCTACGAATCTGTAGAATTCAAATAAAAAAAATTCATCGAATTTGGCTTGGTGGGCGTCGAGATATCTTCACTCAAAGTTTAAAAAATCCAAAACGTCTATCAAAATAAGAGCTGCACCTTGAGCGAAAATATCTCGATACTCACCAAGCCAAATTCGATGAACTTTTTTTTATTTAAATTCTAAGAATCTGCAGAATTCAAATAAAAAATCGTTCATTGAATTTGGCTTTGTAGGTGTCGAGATATTTTTACTCAAATTTTTAAAAAATTCAAAACGTCTATCAAAAAGAAGAGCTGCGCCAAACTTTTTTTAAAACATTAAAACTTTTTCTTAACATTGGACTAAGATATCTCGACTATACATGCCGCACAAATTACAAATTTTTAAAATCCCACCCAAACCCAAATCCCATATGGAAAAATCCCAAATCCCAAACTGGGCAAATTCTATTTGGGCTGTCATAATCCCAAACTCTGGCCAAATCCCATCCCAAATCCCAAATCTCCAAATCTCAAGTTTTCGAATCTAAAATCTCAATCCAAATTTATACTAGGATGTACTTTGTGCAAGATACAAGTTATTTAAAATGATATTATGATATTTATTTGTAAAAAATTGTGTAAAATCACATTGCAGATGAGGTAGAATCATTATATCATATATATATAGTATATATACAGTAGAATAATATTTGAGATTTGGGATTTAGAACACGGGATCGGATCTGGGATTTTAAATAGGATTTGGGATAAAGTTTGGGATTTGGGATTGGGATTTGTCCAGTTTTACCAATGGGATTTTAGACTTGACCGGACAATGGACAAATCCCAAATCCCAAAAGTTTGTCCGGTAAGTATAATTGTGGGGCGAACCAAAAATCCTTAAAGGCTGATATTTGGAGTTTGGGATGAATTTGGGATTTTGGATTGGGATTTGTCCAGTTTGGCCTTATGGGATTTCAAGTATAATTGGAAAATCCCATTTGTCCGGGTTTGTCCATGGAAAAATCCCAAATCCCAAACGTTTGTGCGGCATGTATAATCTCGACACGCACCATGTTAAATTCGATAAATTTTTTTTTATTTAATTTCTACGTATCTGTAGAATTTAAATAAAAAATGATTATCAAATTTGGCTTGGTGGGTGTCGAGATATCTTCACTCAATGGTTTAAAAAAAAGGTTGGCGCAGCTCTTCTTTTTGATAGACGGTTTGAATTTTTTAAATCTTTGAGTAAAGATATCTCGACACTTACCAAGCCAAATTCAATGAAAGTTTTTTATTTGAATTCTACAGTTTTTTAGAATAGCTCTTATTTTGATAGATGGTTTGGATTTTTTAAAACTTTGAGTGAAGATATCTCGACACCCACCAAGCCAAATTCAATGAATTTTTTATTATTTGAATTCTACAGATTCGTAGAATTCAAATAAAAAAAATTTATTGAAATTAACTTAGTGGTTGTCAAGATAACATCGCTCAAAGTTTAAAAAATTTTGATATACATGGGGTATGAATAACAAATTTGTGGGGTATAAATAACAATTCCCTAAAATTTTTACGAATTTGTTTATAACCTACCTCTCCATTGAGAAGGTATTTAGCACTATTTTTTAATGCTAATAGAACACCACGCGAAGACCAACTAAATTTGTAGCCAAGAGGATTATTGGATGCTTCAGGAGCGGGAAGCCCTCCACAATAAGAAATAAAAGATATAATCTATAAAACAAAAAATGTTTAAATAAACTTATTAATTTCATCAAATGACATTTATGCATATTCACTTACTTTTCCTCCAGCTTCGTGAACTTCACTAATAGTTTTAACCGCAAAAAGATGGTCAATACCTGATTTGTTTGGCATATAAATTACCTAAGTATTAAATAATGGTAAATATCATTCATAAAGCTTTTTTTTTTGCGATAATTTCTCACCAGGGTCGAGACCTATCTCGTTCAAGATAGTTAGCCCATTTGCTTTGGCCCTGTAAGCAAGATGTTCTAAATTACATTCAACGTTACTCAATGAAGTAACAGCAATAATGGACTTACTCTTCATCAAAGCTTTTCATTACAGGTGAACAATAGCTTGTTGTAACCACATTTTTTTTGAATTTAATGGCAGATTTGATCACAAGAGGGTGATGTGTGTACGGAATAAGGCTAGTGGGAAATGTTAATTTGTAATAATTTCGCATGGTTAAATATTCCAATTTTAAAAATTTTAGATTAAACATACCTTATGACTAAATCATGCTCAGATACTACTGCATCGAGCTCTTTTTCTTTAGTAACATCAAGCGAAATTGGTGTCGCCCGGGGAAATGATCGAGCGAGAGTTTCAGCATGAGATATGCGTCGACAGGCTAAAAGATAAAAATATATTATCAGATGAAACTTATTACTATGAATAATGTTCTGAATGTCAAATGAAACTTACCGACAGTCAAAAGATTCTCTGGACGACGTAAGATATACTCGACTGTTGGGCGAGCAACAAAACCAGAACCAATAAGTAAAATCTTCCTTTTTTGTACAAAATTGAAAATTTTTTGATTTATAAAGAAGACAAATTTGTATAAAAACGCATTTTGACTTTTACATTTCGTATCTTGCAATTACCTTTCGGTAGCCATTACGAAAATCTATCTTAACTTGTGCCAAAGGATCGTTTCTATTTCAACTTGTGCCAACGTTTTAAGAAACCCGCTGATTATCGGTAGATCTTAGATGCAGTGATCTGCATGCATGTACATTAAATCATATCGTATGATAGATTTCTTCCGCACTCGAATGATCCCATTTTTTTTTTAAACTATCGCCAAAATGATTAAGAGTTTAAACATTACGTATATGCGAGTAATGCCTGTATACATTTTCTAAATAATCAATTCACTCTTATGTATTAAAATATGCTAATTATATATATTAGGTTGCTCGTTTGAGTTCACGAAAATTTAGTATCGCTACATACCAACGGGTAGATTCATCTATTTTACTATCGCTATGTTTAAAATTTTGACAATTAAAGAATTTGTGACATGAAGATGGAAATCACGTGAATTCATATTTCAATATATATATGGGAGATGAAGGATTATCATTCGTATACCATACTCTGATCTCAATTTTTTAAACAAAATGTCTTTTCAGCAAAAACATAGGATTGAAAAAGATACCTTTGGTGATATTCAAGTTCCTGCGGACCGGTATTGGGGAGCCCAAACACAAAGGTATTTCCATTACTTTTTAGCAATTATTTTTAAGGATGAAGTCTGATATTGATCTTCATCTTGAAAGGTCTCTCCAAAACTTTAATATTGGTGGACCCACTGAACGCATGCCTGAACCTTTAATAAAAGCATTTGGTATCGTAAAGAGGGCTGCCGCTACTGTTAATATGTCTTATGGTCTTGACCAAACGATAGGCAATGCCATTATCCAAGCTGCAGATGAGGTAAGCTAATGAAATCAGTAAGAAAAAATTAAGCCCGATTCATTACTCTTTTATTCAACCTAGGTGATCGAAGGAAAACTTTTAGATCATTTTCCATTAGTCGTTTGGCAGACTGGATCTGGGACACAAACTAACATGAACGCTAATGAGGTAGATTGGCATAGGACTGATTTTAATTATAGTAATCACAATCGTGTAATTTATGTAATTGGATTATGTTATAGGTCATTGCGAATCGTGCTATCGAAATTTTGGGTGGTCAACTTGGTAGTAAAAACCCTGTGCATCCCAACGACCATGTAAACATGAGCCAATCATCCAACGACACGTGAGATATATGCCGCTGTAAACCTTTGCGTTCGTTTCTATTATGTTCTTATTTCAGTATTTGTAATTTAGTTTTCCCACCGCAATGCACGTGTCTGCTTCCATAGAAATAAACAAGAGACTTATTCACGCTTTGACACGTTTGCATGATGCTATTTATGACAAGTCAAAAAGCTTTGCAAATATAATCAAAATCGGAAGAACACATTTGCAGGTAAAAGAAAGCTCGCAGATATTAAGTTATATAGGAACACACAGTTTATCTTTGTAAAAATTTTAGGATGCAACACCACTTACTCTTGGAAATGAGTTTTCTGGATACGCACAACAATTGGCATTTGGAATAGAACGTGTTAAGGCAACTCTTCCAAGGCTATATTATCTTGCACAAGGTGGTACAGCTGTTGGCACTGTAAGTATTATTATTTTATCATCTAATTTCTACATTTGTAAATTATTTTGTGACATTTTAACAGAAATTATTCAAAAATTTTTTAGGGGTTGAATACCTTCCCAGGATTTGATGTTAAAATCGCGGCTGAAATCTCAAAAATCACTGGATTGCCATTCCAGTCAGCTCCAAATAAGGTAAGGTTTGATAACTATTATTACGAAGACATGGTTCTCAATTTTTTCATATAAATAAAAAATTTATAAATGGTATTGTTCTAGTTCGAGGCATTAGCAGCTCATGATGCCATAGTTGAAGTTAGCGGAGCTCTTAACGTTCTTTCAGTATCTATAATGAAAATTGCTAATGATATTCGTTTCCTTGGTGAGTAGCCAAGATTCATTAAAAGTACTGCATCCAGACATATTAAATTTTGATATTAAATAGGATCTGGCCCTCGTTGTGGACTTGGTGAAATTTCACTTCCCGAGAATGAACCTGGTTCATCGATTATGCCTGGTAAAGTTAATCCAACACAATGCGAGGCAATAACTATGGTGGCGGCTCAAGTTATGGGAAATAATACCGCAGTTACAATCTCTGGCTCATATGGCCATTTCGAAGTTTGTTCATTTTATTTAAATCTATTAATATTGCACTTATAAAATTTTAATATTCAATAAATTCTATTTCAGTTAAATGTTTTTAAACCAGTATTAATTAAAAACCTCCTCCATTCAATCCGAATTTTGAGTGATGCAAGTGAATCCTTCACGAACAATTGTATTGTGGGAATAAAAGCGAATGAAAAGAAGGTTAATAATATATATATTTTTTTCTCATTATCTCAATCATGATCCTTTTTCTAATGTAAATTTTTTTCCAGATAAATGAAATTATGAATCAAAGTTTGATGCTTGTAACTGCGCTTAATACCCATATTGGTAAGAAATTAATTACGAATTTTCTTACATTAGTATTTTCATTTCATTTTTTCTAATAACTAAATAATTTAGGTTATGATAAGGCTGCTTCTGTGGCGAAGAAGGCACATAAGGAAGATTTAACAGTAAGTTTTTTTAAGACATGTTAATCTTCCCTAGTATGTTCAACACTTAATCATAAATTTATAATTTCAATTGATAAAAGCTTAAAGAAGCCGCCATTAAATTGGGCGTCTTGACGGAAAGCCAATTCAATGAATGGGTCAAACCCGAAAAAATGCTTGGTAATTGTTATAATAATATCACTATTAAATCTCTTTTTTTTTAAAAAAAAAAAGTTAATTAATCTCTGAATTATCTTGGTTTAGGTCCAAATTATAATGTCAAACCGGATTATGATTTTCTGAATTATTAAAAGGAACACGATTCCTTTAATAAGGTCTATTCTAATGTACTTTCTTTAACCGAATTATTTCAGGTGCTATATTTCTGTATAATCATTCGTAGTTTGCAAAAGTATTAATATTACTGTAATAAAAGTTATAACAAATAAAGATCTACAATTAAAATTCTGTATAATTTTTAAGAAAATTGATGCTACGTAGTTTTGAAAATATTCGTGTTTGTAGATATGTAATTATGGTTGCAATACGAATGCGTTAGACAAATTCAGAAATGAGATAAAACGTAGAGATTTTGTCACTGACAAAGTCAACATAGTTTTCTTTAAATTTTATAAAGTTCGAATTAAATATTAAACATATTTGTAAATCGAACTTTTTGAAGCTATTTACGAAGCCCTTCTAAACTTGATAAATTCCTAATGAGAACAATTTTTTAACCTTTAAGCTATTAACTATATAAAAACTCAGAGGTCCCATCACTAGAGGCAAATTTATTTTATAATTATTTTTATTATTTTTACGTAGTAGTTATCATAGCTTAAATTGAAATTACTAGATTTTTTTATTGTTTTATTAGAAATTAGGGTTAGGGTTTATAATTAAAGAGTATAGATGGGATTTAGTAGGATTTATACTAAATAGAGACCATAAATTTCAGCATCATCCCCGACAATTATTTTTGTTATAACCGTCTAAATACTTCTTTTTCTGTGAAGCAGGTGACATGCCAAGTGGACATAGCCCGCATGCCACTTCACCGTATAATGCCTCAAACTTATTGAAAGTCCTTGTAAGGATACCTTTCATATCTACTTTTCGCCCCATGCGAGCTTTAACCGTAACCGTTACCACCAGAGGATGATCACGCGATGGACTACATGAACAACATTGTCCAATAATCGTTCATGGCTCCTGCTGAGCCTTCTCGGCCAAAGAAGTCCTCAAAGACCTAGAGTTCGGCATATTTTATTTTACCCTTTTGCTATTCTCTTTGACATAACAAATATATCATCAATTCTACACCTTGTTGATAGCTAATATATGCATTAAGTCTTAATAATATCTTTAGCGATTATAAGTCTTAATAATATCTTTAGCGATTATACGTATGTAATAAAAAAACCTCATTTAAGAATGGAACTTTATTCTTATTAGAATCTTTTACTCTAATCCAAATGATAGAAATTATCAGGCAGCTTACAATAATTTCCTGCTCAATAAAAACTATTGGCAGGCAAAAGTAAAAGGGCTAGCGTACCAAGAAGATAAAAGTAGCCAGGTGATGTGGCACAATACATCTTCCGAAAAGAAAATTTCTTCAATAGCATGGATTCAAATCCAAAAAAAACGGCCAACTACTAATGAAATTATTACTAAATTAAATGAATGGTTGGAAATTTTGAATTAAAGTTCCGAAAATAAAATTAAAAAGCGGTTTTTAGAAAGTGATAAGATTAACAAAAATTTTACGCGCCCGGTCTCCTTGCCTACCTAAGAAAGGGAACTACCAATACCTTCTTTTGGTATTTAGGAGATCTTAGGTAGGGAGTCCAAGGAAACTTTTAAGAAAAGTAAAAAAATTATTCTAAAAAAAAACGAATATCAAATATTGTGGGACAACCCAGTGATCATTTGTTTACTAGCACAAACAGATTTGACCTAAACTATACTACTGTATCACCTAACCCTAACACTAACCCTAACTTAGGCCGAGCGTTTAATCATGTGATGAGATTATTACGAAGATATCCCTGGGTTCACTTTTCTTGAACCCGGGAGACTCATCCCATGTGAATTCATTTTTCGGAAAACAACACGAAGAAACACGGAGTATTTGATTTATTTAAAGTAACAAAAGATGGTTTTTAATTGACAGTAATACCTTTTTTAAGCAATTCTAGGAAGGTTCATAACTAATTCCTCATGCTGTACCAATAGACCTGAAGCTTGCAAAAAAAAAAAAAAGTACTTTAATAATATTTAAAATTTGTAAAAAAAAAGGAATAATAAACCCTCGCTTATTCATAATACACTTAGGGTTTATAATTTTTTTTTATAAGTACGCATGATGCCTAACATTTCGGCTATTTGTATGAATCATAGTTTCATGTGCTAACATACTGTGGAAATATCAGAATCTAGGATTCCTTGAAAAATTAACTTTCCTTAAAAGGAATTACGATATTTTAGATAGTTTTCTTTGAACAAGTTAATATTTTTCAGAGGTATGATACTTAGAGGTGTCCTTGTTATATTTTCCGATTATAAAATAATGCATGAATTTATTGCGTGATTCTTGAATATTATTTTTAATGGAAAGAAGAAAAAGATAATATTTTAACCGACAAAACAACTGTTACTTTTGACGAATAAATGTAGCAGAAACAAATAAAATATGATAACTTATCTATGCTTGAAATAAGAGGTCGAAGCTAATTCACTTCTGACGTATCAGTCGTTATGAGACCCACCTAGTATCGCCACCAAAATCAGGCACATATAATACGTAATAATAAAAATAGATAACAAATTTACGTTGGAATTTTTTCTTTTATATTTTCAAAATGGAAAATGGAAAATGGAAAATACGAATCAACTTTGTTCGACTTGTCGGATTATAAAATCCAATACTAGAATTTTTTGTAAGAAAACTTTTACCAACTCTCAAAAGAGAAGCTGAACAACTTTGTGCAGCTAGGACAGCCCCCTTCACCTGCATTTCAAAATAATAAAATTTGTATTGAATGTTCAACGCGCATAAATGAAAGCAAAAAAAGAAAGCGTGAGGATCAAATTTTTAAACGATATTTGCATGCAAAAAGAAAATGCTATAAAATACGAAGAACTTGAATATATAGTTTATGAGAAACTTATGGATATTGAAGGAGAAAGTAATATATATGGATCTTGATATAATCGTAGATATTTCTCCAATAATTAATGAATTAGAAATAAATGACACAAACGATGC